TATTTACTTGCAATAACCTGTTAGAAATTATCTCTGAAAGGATGCCATTCATGTGTCAAGCTTAGAAGTAAAATATTCAGGACAATGTCTGGCAGGAAGTCTCTAAAATATGATTAAATTAGACACATTTGATTGACATAGAGATGATCTAAATAAAAGCAGTATGTGCTGTATCTCTGAGTAGGAAAATGCCCTCAAATGAAGATGTCATTTATTTTATGTTCAAGTTAAGCTATAAATCCAATGTAATACAAATTGCTATATCAAAAGTCATGTTTTTCTTTGATAAGATGATTCTAAAGTTTACCTGAAAACTTCTGAAAAATAAAGGGTTGGCGGGAGGGAGCAAGGTTTTAGCCTGGTGGTTCAGGCGTCTGTGTTGTTCTGTGGGGTACCTGGGTCCGCTGTCTGCCTCCCATTTCTCGCCAGGGCAGACCCTGGAAGGCAGTGGTGATGACTGAAGGCAGTGGGGTTCCTGCGACACACCTGTGAGCCCTGAGTTTCATCCTGACCCCTGGCTCTAGTCCTGGTCCTGCCCTGGCTGTTGAGGCTTTTGGGGAGTGAACCAGTGGATGGGAATTCTGTTTCGTTTCCCAAATAAATAAAAAAAATTTTTTTTCTTAATAAGGGTGGGAAGAGAAGGGACTTGCTGATTCTCCAACGTTAAGATGCCTGTAAATGTTTCTACTGTTAGGTAATTAAAATGGGATAATATTGGCCTAAGGATAACTTCTGCAATATTAGGTAGTATTAAGTGATTTTGGCTAGAAATCTGTAGTAACACCTGCCTTGTGAACTCGACAAGGTAACTCTTGACTGTATCAGAATCCTGTGCCATTTTCCTTCCTAGTCTGCTTCATTAACAGGCAACAGCAGTGGTGGTTACGAGTCATTAAACGGATTTTAGGAGACTTAATGTGTTGTATCGTGCTGTCTAAAGAATGCCGAGATAGGGTAATGGCATGCACATATACCTCATATAGGCAGCATTTGAAATCTGTGGCTAACGAATGAGCCGAGTTTCTGATTTTGGGTGAATAAAGAAGTACTCTGAAAGTTGACAGTTGCGTTGTTTTAAGTGTGCAGTTCAGCGTTAGTAAATGGGTCTGTAACGTTATGCAGCCGTCACCACCAACCATCTCTAACTGCTTTCATTTGTGACACTGAAACCCTGTGAAATAACCACTCCCCGCCCCGCCCGGCCCCTGGAGCCGCCCTCCTGCTCGGTCTCCCTGGATGCTGGGCTGCTAGGCGCCTCGTCTCAGTGAGGTCCTCCGTGCCGTTTCTCTGCAGCGGGCTGCTTTCACTGGCGTGGCGTCCTCAAGGCTCGGGCACGCAGCGCGCGTCAGGATTCGCTTCCTTAGTCTGTGGAACATCCAGGTGATTGTGTTCTGCTTCTGCTTCGTGAGTGCACGGACTTGGGGGAGGCTGCTCCGCGTTTGCGCTCCTGCCACGGATGCGCCCGAGAACTGGCCACACCTGCTTCTTTGAGGCCCCGCTTGCAGCTGTTCTGAGCACAGACCCAGGAGCCCCGTGGCACTTCTTGCAGGTTTCTGAGGACCTGAGCCGCACCGTGCCGCACAGTGGCTGCCCCGTTCACTCCCCGCCCCCCTCCCCCAGCAGTCCGAGAGTTACGATGCCCCCACGTGTGCACGTGCTTGTTACTTCCTGGTGTTGTTGTGGAGTAGCCATCCCAGTGGGTGCGAAGTGGCGCCGTGCTGGTTAGCCTTTCCCTGATGTGCTCATTAGCCTTTTCTGTATCTGGCTTATTTTTGATTGCTGCTTGCTTTTCTGAGATGGAATTGTAGGAGTTCTTTATGTATGCCGGAGACTACACTCTGATCACAGAAATGGTGTGCAAAAATTTTTTTTCTCATTTTATATGCTGCCTGTTCACTCTGTTAAAAAAGAAAACACTAAGACAGTTGGATAATCCTCTAGAAGAAAGTTAAGTTAGGAAGATTTTTTCATGATGCCATATGCCAAACTAAATTTCAGATGGATTAAAGAATGTATACACACACATACACACACTCAAAAGATTCTACTCGTATGTATTTATTTATTTTTTCAAAGATTTATTTATTTATTTGAAAGAGTTACACAGAGAGAGAAGGAGAGGCAGAGTGAGAGAGAGGTCTTCCATCTGCTGGTTCATCCCCCAGTTGGCCGCAACGGCCGGAGTTGCACTGATCCGAAGCCAGGAGCCAGGAGTCTCTTCCTGTCTTCCAAGTCTCCATGTGGGTGCAGGGGCCCAAGGATTTGGGCCACCCCCCACTGCTTTCCCAGGCCATTGCAGAGAGCTGGATTGGAAGTGGAGCAGCCGGGTCTCAAACTGGCACCCATGTGGGATGCTGGTACTGTAGGCGGTGGCTTTACCTGCTACGCCATAGTGCCGGCCCCTACTCCTATGTAGTTATTCTGTAGAAGAATAAACTTGCGTTAGGGAAGCCTTTCTTAACATTATACTCAGAAGTTACAACGTAAAAGCTGTATACTGTAGAATAGCCTTTTTCTGTTGGAGGTTACCATAATCAAAGGTGAAAGTTATGAGTAATTTTTACAAGGTCCAGGTGGTTAGTGAACCCTGATTAAAAAATAAACATGGATTTTGTAGCAGTTAAGAAAGCTGTGTATTTAATTTTTCAGATCTGATGCTATACTTGGTAGCAGTTGCACAGTTTTAGTTAGGGACGCTTGGCTATATGAGGGCCCTTCATAAAATTTGTGGAAAATTCAGTCAAAACATATGTTTACTTTATTGTAAAAAATTGTGAAATCCACAGTTTTTTCCTAATTCACATTTCCCATGAACTCTTTTTTTTTTTTTTAAAGTTTTGTTTGTTTCATAGAGAGAGAGAGACAGCGATCCTCCACCTGCTGGCTCACTCCCAGAATGCTTCAACAGTCAGGGCTGGGCCAGGCAGAAGTCAGGACTCCCTCGGGGTCTCCCACTTGGGTGTTAGGAACCAAGTGCTCTGGTCATCATCCGCCTCCTCCCAGGAGCATTAGCAGGAAGCTGGATTGGAACTGGAGGTGGAACTTTATCCCGGGCACTCTGGAATGGGGTGCAGGCTTGGTGGTGGTTTACTCCGCTGCACCACAGTGCCCACCCCTTCCCCGACCCAAGAACGATTTGAAGACTCATTTATGTGGGTTTCAAATTTTTTGGTACCAAGATAAACTTATTTTTAAATTACATTTTCCACAAATGGATAGAGCTATCCTTGTACCTCAAAGGTATGAGAAAACTAATCTTCATTTAAAATAAATAGTTTTTTAGAGGTTTATACGTTATAGGAACCCTTAGAGAAACAGAATTACGATGAGTGCGTGAGGAGCTAGTGTTAAGGTGCAGCAGGTTAAGCTGTTGCCTGTGAGCCAGCATCTCAGATGAGCACCGGTTCAGGTTCCAGCTGAGCCACTTCTGATCCAGCTCCCTGCTAATGCGCCTGGGAAAGCAGTGGAAGATGGCCTGAGTGCTTGGGCCCCTGCACCCACGTGGGAGACCCAGAGGTACTTCCTGGCTCCTGGCTTTGGCCTGGTCCATCCTCAGTCATTGCGGCCATCTGGGGAGTGAACCAGTGGATGGGAGATTTCTGTCTCTGTCTCCCTCTGTAACTCTGCCTTTCAAGTAAATAAATCTTAAAAGATCAGTGAGTGATAAAATAAGAAAAGGTTTGAGGATCGATAGTTCCTGAGATTAAAGAACTGTGGTCGAGGCAGGTGTAGGGTGCAGCAGGTAAGGTGTCCCTGGGACCTCTGTATCCCGTACTGGCGCGTCTGGGTTGGCACTGGCGCAGGCGGCAGGTGGTGGTTCAAGTCCTGGGAGACCTGGCTGGAGTTCTGGGCCTCTGGATTTGGCCTGTTGTGGGTACCTGGGGAGTGAACTGGAAGATGGAAGGTCTCTCTCAAATAAATAAAAAACTAGAAGTAATAAGGTGAGAGGTTAACCTGTGCTGTTCTAATGCAGTTCTTCCTACAGGAAAGCAGTGAGGGATTTGTAAGATTTCATGTATTCAGAAATCTGTATTGAGGGCAGGTTTGTACGGAGAGCTGTGCTAAGCTTTTCAGCAGAACACGTTCAAAGACCCGAGTCTTGCTGACACTCTAGTTAAGAGACAGGTTTTCATGGGCACCTGCACCGGCTCCTAGTGGCTGCTGTAGCAGTTACCACACAACGAGACGCCCCGACAGCACTGTTGTCTCGTTGCTCTGTTGGTCTTGATTCGGCTTCTGCAGATTTTCCTGAACTGCGCAGTTTCTGCTTTGACTGTGGCCGCTTAGGTCGCCTCTTCCTTACTGCGTTCCTTCCGTTGGAGCTTTCAGAGGAATTCCAGTGGTACATTGTAGGAAGCTATTTTACTTTTGGCTATATGTGCGTAGATAGTCTTTTAAGATTTATTTATTTGAAAGGCAGAGTTACAGAGAGGCAGAGGGCAGAGCGAGAGAGAGAGATCTTCCATCTGCTGGTTCATTCCCCAAATGGCCGTAGTGGCTGGAGCATCCTAAGGGGATGATCTAAAGCCAGGAGCTTTTTCCAGGTTTCCCACATGGGTGCAGGGGCCCAAGGACTTGGGGTGTCTTTTCACTGCTTTCCTAGGCCGTAGTGGAGAGCTGGATCTGAAGCGGAGCAGCTGGGATTCCAACCGGCACCCATATGGGATGCCGGCACTGCAGGCGGCAGATTTACCTGCTGTCCCACAGCGCCAGCCCAGCCATCTTTTCTTAATGTAAATGTAAAATGTTTGACTTCTCTTGTTTTCTAAAAATGGGTCAGCAGAGAGGTGGACCTTGAGATAATTGGAGTGCAGGCTGTCTGCACATGAGTATAAAGTTTATAAGCAAAAGGAAGTAAGTATTTGTGATCTGCATCATCACTGTGTCCCATCAGAACATTTTAGCCAAGCAGAGGGTTCGGGACACTGGCTGGAAACCTACCTGCTCTGCCTGTGGAAGGTCACAGTCACCCCTCAGTGTCCACGGCGCGTGGGGGGGGGTCCCACAGCCCCTTAGGATGCTCCAGTCCACCATGTTCATGGCTCTTAACAGGAGCCCTATGAATACCTTCCCGTAATTTTTTTTAAATAACTGATTTTCATATTGTTTGAAAGGCAGAGAAAGACACATATAAAGAGATCTGCGATCTGCTGGTTCAGTCCCCAAGTGTCCACAGTGGGCCTGGCGAGGCCAGGCTGAGGCCAGGAGCCCAGACCTGCATCTGGATCTGCTGTGTAGATGGCAGGGAATAGCCCAGACCTGCATCCGGATCTGCTGTGTGGATGGCAGGGAATAGCCCAGACCTGCATCCGGATCTGCTGTGTGGATGGCAGGGAATAGCCCAGACCTGCATCCGGATCTGCTGTGTAGATGGCAGGGAATAGCCCAGACCTGCATCCGGATCTGCTGTGTAGATGGCAGGGAATAGCCCAGACCTGCATCCGGATCTGCTGTGTAGATGGCAGGGAATAGCCCAGACCTGCATCCGGATCTGCTGTGTAGATGGCAGGGAATAGCCCAGACCTGCATCCGGATCTGCTGTGTAGATGGCAGGGAATAGCCAGACCTGCATCCGGATCTGCTGTGTAGGTGGCAGGGAATAGCCAGACCTGCATCCGGATCTGCTGTGTAGATGGCAGGGAATAGCCCAGACCTGCATCCGGATCTGCTGTGTAGATGGCAGGGAATAGCCCAGACCTGCATCCGGATCTGCTGTGTGGATGGCAGGGAGTCCAGCGCTTGCGTCACCTGCTGCCTTGCAGGATGTGCCTCAGCATAGGCCGGATGGGAAGTGGAGCAGCTGGAACTGGAACCAGAAGCCCTGACAGGGGACGCAGGTGCCCAGAGCAGCGTCTTGACTTCTGTGCCACATGGCGGTCACCCTGCCATGTAATTTGAATGTCCCAGTGACTCTGGAACACTTAATACAATGTAAATGCACCTTCTTATTTAGGGGATAACCTCAAGGAAAGAGTTTGTGTTCAGTACAGGTGCAGAGTCTAAATATTTTCAGTCTGTGGTCCATCTCATCTGCTGGGGGTCGGGGGCCCAACCATATATGTTATTCACTATTTTTTTTTTAGAGTATGGGATTAAAATAAAAAGTAATTGTTAACTGTTCTTGAAATAAACCTATTTGGAGATGGTGTCATGGTTTGTTTTTTTCTTCTGAGTTTGGTTGTTTTTCACGGTATTGAATTTCAGTTCAGTTGAGATTTATGGAAACTTCGTTAGTGGACACTTAGATTTGATAGATATGTGCCACAGATAATTTTATAAAGAAATCCAAGTCCTGATATCTATAGAATGGTTGAAGTTCACCAATAAGAAAATAATCCAGTGGGCCAGCATTATGGTGTAGTGGGTAAAGCCGCCACCTGCAATGCCAGCATCCCATACAGGCGCTGGTTCAAGTCCTAGCTGCTCTACTTGTGATCCAGCTCCCTGCTGATGTGCCTGGGAAAGCAGTGGGAGATGGCCCAGGTGCTTGGGACCCTGCACACACGTGGGAGACCTGGATGAAGCTCGCTGGCTTTTGCTTGGCCCAGCCCAGCCGTGGTGGCCTTTTGGAAAATGAACCAGTGGATGGAAGAGCTCTGTCTCTCTCTCTCTCTCTCTCTCTCTCTCTCTCTGTATGTCTCAAATAAATAAATAAACCTTAGGAAAAAAGATGATAATTCGTTGAGATTGAATGCTTCTGTGCTTCAGCCTGTGGGTAAGTTAATTGTTTATGTCTTTTTTTTTTTTTTTTTAATTAGTTGTTTGAAAAGCAGAGTTACAGAGAGAGAGAGAGAGAGAGGGAGAGAGAGATACCCAGGGAGCTGGATTGGACGTGGAGCAGCCAAGACCGACTGGCGCCCTAAGGGGTGCGGTGGTGCTGCACCACGACACTGGCTCCTGATTGTTCGTGTCTTAGAGAGGAGAGGAGAGTTTTTTTTTATATCTTCTGTCAGCTTCAGTCCCTGCTGATCTTCACGGCTGCACAGCCATCGTGGCCTGCCTGGGCTTCCCGGCCCTCTCCGCTCTGCCTGCTGAGATGGGGGTGGGGAGTTTCCTCACAGAATGAAAGGAGGTTTCCCTTTTTCTCGGATTTATTTATAAATAGAGTGATGCTTTTATGCCGCCGTGTTTCCGTGCGAGACCAGCGAGGAGCCGAGTGCCTTACAAGCGTGTGGAAGACGTGCTCGAGGCTGGCTTCGGCTTCTGACGTGTGTCACTGAGTGGATTAGTTCGCGTGTGACTTTACCCAAGTCTCCGTGCACGTGCCCGTCCCCTCCTGCTGTGCCTGCCTGGGACACTCAGCTGCTCACGCCCGCTCCTGGCGGGCAGCCTGCCCTCAGCGAGTGCTCAGCCTCACGCCCTCACTGTCTCTCTCCTGTGAGGGGGCTGGGCGCTCCCGAGGCCCCTGTGGGGCAGGCTTCTCCCTGGAGCGTCCCCTACAGCAGGTGGACGGCCCCTGGAGGACTTCAGGGTTCTAGGGGTGCGTTGGACTCGCTGCTTGACCCTCCGTGGCCTTCTCTCGGCGGCGTGACTTCTGCTGTTTGGCTTCTCTCCTTGGTTTGGATGTCGGAGATGGGGAGGGTCTTCCCCCCTCCCCAGAGGCCACATCCAGGACCCCATGGGCTGCCCCACATTGTGCAGTGTTGGCTGTTTTCCCGAGGCATCTGTATCGGTTGTAATGATATTCTGGAAAAAAAGTTATTTCAAATTTAAGAATTATTCACACCTAGAATTTTCCACTTGATATTTTCAGACTGTGGTCAGCCATGGGTCATGGAAACCTTAGAAAGTCAGAGCCGGAGAAGCAGAGTCCTGGGGCGGGGTGCACCCCACCACACTGCTGGCCGCTGCTGAGCACCAACCTCTAGCTGCCGCAGCTGCTCGGAGCGCTGCTTCTGCGTTGCCCCTGGGGAGCGTCTCAGGGAAGCTGCCCCATTTCCCTGGGCGTTTTCGCTGCCCTCTAGAAATGCCGCCTTCTGGCCTGCTTCTTGCACCTGTGCTTTCTGGATCCCTGTCACGCTGACTTGTGTCCTGCTGTCTTTGTCCCCCGTGCGTGTGGCTGCGACCCGGCCTTGTCACTGTACTCCACTTCCCATACACACAGGCATCGCCTCATTCTAGAGCTTTGTACCAGCCGCTGTCTCCACCTGAACTTCTCTTCTCCAGACTCAGACCAGCGTCCCCGTCGGCCTGGGGCACTTCTGTTCTGAAGGCTCCTTCCCTCTTGGACAAACAATCCTGAAAGCTGGATTTTATGCCTGCATTGCTGTAAAGATGAGTGTATTAATGTGAAAACATTTGCTGTAGCCTGATAGACCTTTTTTTTTTTTTTTTCCCTTTTGAGGTTAGGACACAGTTCATCCATTTCCATGGGCTGTTCTGTGTCATGGAAAGTCAGCCCAATGGTGTCCTCCGAGGGCGGGGCGCCCAGGGCTCTGTCTCACTGTCACGGTGCCCATCTTACTTGCCGTTGAATTCTTGGAGCACAGCCAAGCTCATGAATGAATGAATGAACAGAGAAAGAAAGGTAGCACTTGGCTCCACCTACAGAACCCGGCCCCGACCAAAGCACTGAAGCACTGTGGTTTTTTTTTCCATAACATATTTTTTTTTATTTAAAGATTTATTTATTTGAAAGGCAGAGTTAGAGAAAGAGAGAGTTGGATCTTCCATTTTCTGGTTCACTCCCCCAGTAGCTGGGACTCCGCCAGGCTGAAGCCAGGAGCCTGGAACTCCATCCAGGAGTCCCCCGTGGGTGGAAGAGCCCCCCAAACACTTGGCCATCCTCTGCTGCTTTCTCAGGCACACGAGCAGGGAGCTGGATCAGAAGTGGAGCAGCTGGGATGCCGGCATAGCACGTTCAAGCGTTCATTAAGGTTTTCTTAACACTTGCAAACCCCACCTCTTGAAGAAAGTCCAGTACATTGAGAACCCTGCGAGGGCTGCCTGGCTCCCTCTCTTCCTGCCGGTTCCCTGCCGTTTTTGCCTGTTTTGTGTGAGGCCTTGAGACCCAGGGTTCCCTTTCACGCCCTTTGTGTCCCACCTGACAGGATGGAAGCACTTTGTATCACTGGGGTCTTTCTCAGTTCTCTGATGGTTGAATGTCATGCAGTGCGTGAGGCAGATCAGATGCTTTTTTCTTGTTGAATTTTAAACTTCTCACGTTTTCCTTTTAGGTGTAAAACTATTTTATTCACAAAGCCTCCCCTGCCCTGACCCCTTTGTTCTTCCTGAGGAGTTCCCGGAACTGAACTGCCAGGGCTGGGATGGGTGCATGCTTTCATCACTGAAGTTGAGTGAGTTTCCTTGTCCAAAAAGCTGGGGCTCAGATGTTTTGGAGTTTTGGATCCTTTCAGATTTGGGGATATTTGCATGTAACACACCCAGTGAGATTTGGGGGATATTTGCATGTAACACACCCAGTGAGATACCCTGGGGAAGGGACCCAAGTCTAGATAAGAAAGTCATGTATGTTTCATAAGCACCTTCAGCACGCAGCCTGCAGGTCGCTTTATGCAGTAGTCTTAGTGCACCTGGGTTTTGACTGCAGCCTGTCACATGACATCAGGTGTGGGATGCCACTGGCACCACGTCGGCACTCAGAAAGTTTCAGACCCACAGCACTGTGGGATTTCTGCTCTCCGTTCTTTGCTTACATCTGGCTGTTCTATTTTGTGCCCCCCCCCCCCCCACTATCCTCTCATCTTTTTTTTTTTTTTTTTTTTTTTACATTTAGTTGGGTTTCTAGTTAAATGAGCTTTTGAGAAGTAGAATCCACAGCTCACACTTTCTGCTTGCTGTTTTACTGTTGCAGGTATGACATTCCCGAGGGCGGGCTCACATTCGTGTCCTTGTTTGCTTCTGCAGCACCTGGCGCAGTTGAGGGCTCCTTGTGGGTGTGTAGTTTGGGTTGGCCGTTTGAGGAAAAGATTGTTTCGGAGGGAGAGCAAATCCTGGGGAAAGAGGATAAACCTATCAAACTCTGATTTCTAGAAGTAAGAATCTGTAACTTACCCAGGAAGAACAGTCACTGCCCGCGGGAAGGCGTTGTCTGCAAGTCTGGGAAGACCCCAGCAGACTCCAGAGCAGGGCAGGGGTGGAGCCTGGGGAAGACGAGGGAGGGAGGGGCACGGTGGGGAGGCTGCTGCTGCTGGCTGAGTCGTGGTGGAGCTGCGTCTTCGTGTCCTGCCCCTTGTGATTCCGTCCGCCCGTTTAGTGGGCACTGTGAGTGTCTGGCCCCGTGCTGGGGAGTGAGGTGGAGAGTGCCGGCTGTTGTGCAGAGCTTGTGGCCAGCGTGATCTTGCTCTGAGACGGTGGTGACGACAGGGTAGGAAGGCAGAATTGACTGTCGACAGTGCAGGTGAACGTTGCGTTGATGGAACTATGTGCTGCATGGTTGTTAGAATGTTCTTAAAGAACTTGGCCAGAGTGCTGTGGTTGGGAAGACCGTGTGAACGGTGTCCCCCGTGACGGTTGTACTGCCTGCCCGCTGTCCTCCTTCCCGGCCTCCTGGGATTCTCTTAGCGTATCACGCCACCTACGCTGAGGTGTAGTCCACCTCGCGTCAGACTGGTGTGGACAGGTCAGCCCGTCGTCTTCCCCAGGGCGTTGTGATCGTCGAGGGTTCTTTTCCCTGTCAGTTCCCAGAGTATCCTTGTGTTCCTTTGTGTAAGCTGACCTTTGTAGTTTAGCTTGTATGCTGTTATTTCTCTTAACAGGTGTACATTTGGTAGTGCTTTTGGGTGTTTGATTATCATACTGTTGTGGAAAACAGTAATATTGTAATAGCAGGGAA